GGTAACTCCGGCGAGCCCATTCATGAATTAGACGTGTTGACCCCTTCCGCAATTAATGATTTGCTGGAGAGGGCTGAGGCTCGTTCTTACACCATCGCCAGTGCTGAGGGAGCTTTTCCTGCGGGAACCAAGTTTCGTTCTTTTCTCTGCCGTGCACAGAAGTCCATTGGGCCCCGGACTCTCCTAGCAGGCTACCTTGCTCTTTGGTTGAAGAAATGTGTTGTCCCGCACCAGCCTTCAGACGCTCTACCCATCGAGGTGCTCTTCCCTGCAGTTCAGCTAGCTTACAGGAGAGAGCTTTCCCTGCTCCCAGCGATGATTGCTGGCATCCATTGCGGGCTTAGGTGTCTAGTCAGCAGTTTTACACAGATGGGTTCTGAACCATCGACTGAGCTTACTTGTCCGAAGGTCGAGCTCCCTTACGCATATCTGATGGCGTGGCTCGTTCTTCACCGTCCTGATTTGATGTCGGCGCCCAGCGTTGTTGATGTCCCCGTTCCTTTCATGCAGTTGTTGGAGAAGAGCAGATGGCTTGGGAACAAATTCAGTGATGTTCAACGAGAGCTTCGAGCCCGTAAGAGCTGGGAGTTCTTCAAGTGTTTTCCTCACTTTTCGGGTCACTATGGTGATACGCTGATTGACGAGGAGAAACCTAGAAGTGACCAGACTGTTCTCGACGCTGGTTGCTTCCGCTGGTTAGTGAACATCCGCGTTGGATATCTTGTCCTTCGGGTGAAGAATCAATGCCACATAGAGCCTTACCTCCCTTGCCGCTTTGCTCGTCAGTTCGGCTATGACCAACTGTATGTCGGGAATCCAAGCCGTGGCCTGCAGATTGAGGGAGGACTTATTGATGGCGTACGAGCATGGTTGTGGACTATGGTGGGCTGCACTGGAGCCCATTTTGCTCTCCCTTCATATAGGCGTAAGCCGCTGACCACTTTTCTTAGTTGCAAGTGGTTCCTTTCCGCCTATGAATCCATAGGTGTGAGGAGCCTTTCAGAGTTACAGTCCGAGTACTCGGTCCGGGCTGCTATGATGGCTGCTGGCAGGGCTGAGGTTGCTCGGAAGCGGGGAAAGGGGTGTGCCAAATCTCTTCTCACCGATGATGAAGAGCTCCTTCCTACGGGTGACGAGGACGAGACCTCCGAGG